GGAAGTGGCTGCAGGAAAGGGTGCCTTGAGGGCACAGTGTGAGGTGCAAGGCAGAGCTCTGGCCCATTTGGGGGATAAGGGAGGGCTGCCCAGACGCAGGGATGGAGGCACTAAGACCTGAAGGGTGAGGAGGGGTCCCTGTCCACCTTCGAAGCCCTGTCCCAGCTTGCCTCTGCTGGACTCCCATCACACACACCCTCTGCCACACACACCCTCTAGGAATGCCCCTCATGCCTCCATGTGGCAAATACCTGCTAACCTCCCCACCAGCTCCAACCCCCTCCCTGGCCCCTTTGCTCCCCCGACACTTTGGGAGCCTCTCCCAGAGCCTCCCTCACACCCCAGCGAGGCCATCTGTTTACACATCCACCTCCCTGGCTGGACTGGTACCTCCCCGAGGGCAGAGGACAGGACAGGGCTGACTCAACCCTAGCCAGGCTCGCATGGGGCCCGGTGGCTGAGTGGCGAGAGCCACAGGTACCCCGGGTTTTCTGTTCTCAATCCTGGCTCAGCCCGTCCCTGGTTGTGTGACCTGGGACAAGGGACCTCCCAGCCTCTGGGCCTCCCTGTGAAGAGAGGCATTCCAACAGGGCCACCTCCCAGGGTTACTCTGAGTCATAAGACAACAAGGGGAATGCTTTGCACGGAGCTCCCTTGGGGGCAGCCTTTACGATCAACATGTCTGCGTTGGACAAATGAATGAAGGCAGGGTAGCCTTCCTGTCATGCTAAGCTGGAAAACAAGACCTCGAGACATGGCAGGCAGGGGGTGGGGGAAACCTCATCTCAGCCAGACAAATGCCAGCCACGGCTGGGCCCTGGAGCCATCCATTACCTCAGCAGACACGCACTGGACACCTGTGTGCCCATCCCACTGCAGGTAGCCTGCCAGAGACCCAACAAAGAGATGAGGAAGAGAAGCGGTGTGCTGACAGCAAAGAATTGGGGAACCCCCAAAGTCAGGAAGGGCCTCCATCACAGGAGGAAGAGTGTTCTGAGCAGAAAGAGCAGCAGGTGTAAAGGCCCTGAGGTGGCAGGAACCTGGAGTGTGAGGAAGTGAAAACAAGGCCAGGGTGGTTGAAGCACAGAGTGGAGAAGAGACTGGAGATAAGGTCATAGAGGTGGCCAGGGGCCTCAGGGTGAGGAGGGGAGTCGCCAGGGTTCCTGGAGCATTTTATCGGCTAGAAAGTGGTATCATTTGATGCACATCTTTAAAAGCTCCTTCTGGCCAGGCACAGCGGCTCACACCTGTAATCCCAGCACTTTGGGAGGCCGAAGCGGGTGGATCACAAGATCAGGAGTTCAAGACCAGCCTGGCCAATACGGTGAAACCCTGTCTCTACTAAAAATACAAAAATTAGA